AACACAAATGAACAATGAAAACAATACAATGAAACTTTGGGAAAGGTGGATTTATTGTACCAATGTAACTGAAACGTTCTTCAGACCTCCCCTGGTTTTTCTCTGCACCTTGCCAAGGGAGGTACACCTCACAGTTTGGGAAACCCTCCTCTAAAGTGTCTGCACACTGAGCTCCCTCAGACTGCCACTATGCTCAAAGAGAGAAAGTTCCCTTGCAGTGGGGAGCATGGTGAGTCAACGTGATGTTCAATGACAGGTAAGCATCCTTTGTGTTTTTTGTATATTATATGTGTTGGGCCTCTCTCAGCAGCTATTTTAAGTGGAGGCAGGTGCAGGCAAGCATTCAAGGATGTAGTTTTCCAATGAGTGTGTTTATTGCAAAATAAATAAAGACATTATGAAAGAATTCCAGTGACTACCATGTGTCAAATGCAAGCCTTATTTATAGTGAAATCAAAGTTCAAATTCTTGTGTCTTTTCCTCCCATGTGCACAGTGCAGTAGCCCAAGGACTCTCTCTTTTGAGCAGGTGAGATAGTTCCTACCTGTTCCTCATTGTAGTAATATAATAATCTGGTTTCATGCAGTTTGCTTCTGGTCTTGCCAGAACTAATGTATGGAAGAAGAGCTATGTTACCTGTGATCACATCAAAATGAGTAGTAGAATAGCAGGTTCAAAATTGGTATCTGCTATAATCTAGATGATAGGGCTTCACAAATATGGGTGGGATAGACAAACTGCAGCCCTTAATATGTGATTCAGCCATTGTAGTAATTGCCCTGGGGGATTGCCCACAGACAGCAGATGGCATAGGCAGATGTCGTAGTTTGTCAAACAAAATAGTTTTAATAAAATAGTGGGAAAACTGTTGTTTAGCAGCAAATAAAGGATATTTGAGTCACATGAAATGATTTCATGCTGTCAAGGTAGAAGACAAAACTCCTTTTCATATCTAAATGGTTATTTTAATGTGGCTGGTAGGATTAGGGAAGAAAGTTGAAAAACCAATATCCTGATTAACAAGGACATTAGAAAATATTTTCAGAATGAAGGTAGAGTTAGGGCACAAAGTAACTTTGTTCTTACACTACACAATGTAGAATTAGGCCATTCTCTAGAAGCAAATAGTTTATTAGTATATTTTGACAAACTCTGTCAAAAATGCTACTTTAAAGGATAACCTATGGAATGAAGAGCTGAACAGTGGAGACAAGTTAAGACAGGAGCAAACAGTCTCCATTGTAGGCAAACTTGGGTACTAGAGGATAGAAGTGACAAACTGGCTCAAAATTTAAGGATCAAAAGAGTGCAGAATACCAGAAATACCACTGTCACGTATGTGGAAGACTGATTATTGCCAAATAAATTTTTAGTGAAGATGAAGATTTTTCTTTTTTAAGTACAAAGAAATTGTGGAACTAAGAGCAAAACACAGCCACTGACTCTATACAGCTTTTAGATAATTCAGACAGCTCACTCTGCCCTGTAAAAAGTCAAAGCAAATTGTTTCTAAAGAAAGGTATCATTTGTAAAAAGGTAGTCATCTGTAATTGGCTGATTTTCCAAGCCATCAGTCATAGCTTTTGGAATCTTGAATGGAATATCTGGTTTCCGCATCAGAATAGGAGATTCTTGTCAAGGGGATTATGTTGAAACTTGTTCTTGGCAAAATGCAATAGGTCTGTGCAGACAATCCTGCCCCAACAAAGCTTGATAATCATCCTTGTAAGCAAAGGAATCCAGAGATAGATTCAATTTAGGATGCCTGACCAGTTTGGAAAGTGAATGCATCTGAGAGAGAAATGGGATACTTTTGAGAATTACCGCAATATAATGTACATTGACCATTTTGGCTGTTCACAAAATGATCCAACATGGGTCTTCCCAACTGTGGAAAATCTGTCAAAGAAACAGGATTGCAATATCCAGTCCTCTGCCACAGTCCCAGTATAGCTGAGCACATCTGCTATGACAATTCACCTCTAGGGAGGTGAACTAGTATTAGAAAATGTGATGTGAAATATACCAGAACTGCAATGCTAGGGTAGAATGCACTAATGGAGTCCCTCTCTGCTAGGGTGGAGTGCAACAGTAGGTCTTTTGTGTTTATAGAAAAAATCATTGTGGCATTACCTGATGTTAATTGCACAATTTTATACAAGCGTATTGACTGGAATGTGTAGCATGCCTTAAAGTTGTAAGGGGTTCTAACGTGTGAAATCAAGATTCCTGTGGGATCCAAACTTCCATGAACTTGAAACCCCTACAATAAGCATCCCAGCTATGCCTGGAAACTTCAGTGGTCAAGTTCTGGGTTGGCTGTATGATCAAGAACAACTGATCCTTCTTAAGTTCCCATCAGTCAGATGAAGAAGGCTGCAGTGTTTGGGTGCATAAGTAAAAAACATCTGCTTGATATTGAACATCAGTTGATCTTGATGAACCGAAGTTAAGCATCATGATAGAAGGTAGGAAATGAACTCAGGGCCAGGCAAGGCCTCTTTGTAAACATAGAGTAGGTACAGCCAGCTGCCAGCATAAGAAACAGACTGAAAACGGTCTATTACAACAAAAGAGCAAGCGAAAGAAACTCAGGATTTAAACCCTGGTGTCCATGTGTGTGTATTTGTGTGCATGTGTGTGTGTGTGTGTAGATAGGTAGGTAGATTGATTGATTGATTGATTGATTGATTGATTGATTCTTGGCTTTCATTGAAGCTGAACTTCATTGTAACTAGGATGCTTCATCTGCAGCAAAGTATATTACATATTTAAACCAGTCCTTGGCTCTGTATGAGAATTTCAAGTTTCTAAAGAAAGAATGACTCCAGAGCCCAACTTCTGACACTATGAGGCAATGTGAGGCTTATGCTGCAAAAAATGCTTTTTGGTTTTTGTGATATTGAAGTAGTCTTCAAGTTGGTTGTGAGGATTTTTGACATACAGATAGTCCTCATTTAGTGACCACAATTGGGACCAGCAACTTGGTTGTTAAGCGAAGTGGTCACTAAGTGAAACTGACTGTGCTTATGATCTTACTTCAGCTTTCCTTTGCTTTACAAACCGAAGGTCATAAATGCAAGGATTGGTTATAAAGTTACTTTTTCATCACCTTCATGACTGCAAATGGTCTCTAAACAAGGCAGTCGCTAAATGAGGACTACCTATATGTTGCTTTTTCTCTTAGTTTTAATTGTAAACTGCCCAGAGTTGCTGAAGAATCAGGCTGCTTCTAAATTAAATAAATAAAATTAATATTCAATCTGCCTTGACTAGTCAGTAATGTGAAAGATACATGGCAAGTCTATGACTTGCTCCACTTGACTGATTGGCAAATAACTCCCAGATGATTGAATCCAGGCTCACCCATATATACAACACCATCTGCATCAGACAAAGGCAAGATTTTCCCCAGTTGACACAAAGATTTAGATTATGTTGAAATTGTGTGAGAGGTCATTTTAAAAAGAATCTGCCAAGTAGAATTGAGCTATGTGTGCAGTTCAGGCGAAGAATTGCAATTTTCTTTCTAAATACTACAGGTAGTCCTCACATAATGACCATTCGTTCAGAGACCATTCAAAGTTATGATGTGCTGAACAAATGGTAGTTATGGCTAGTCCTTGAAGTTACAGCCATTGCAGAGCCCCTGTAGTTAGGTGATCAAAATTCAGGTGCTTGGCAGCCCACCTGTGTTTACAACGGCAGTGTGCACTTCAATTATCCCCACCCACCTGTCTCCCTTCCCATCTTTTTGCCTGCCCTGCACTCCACTGCTACCTACCTCCACCACCCCCAGCTGACCTTCGCCGTCTTCTTCCTGCTACCTATGAAGCACACCTGGCTGAGGCAGCTGCTGGCCCTCCATGAGGCCATGCAAAATGCCAGCAGCTGCTTCAGCTGGGCACATCTCAGCAGCAGCAGAAGAAGATGGTGAAGGTCACCTGGAGGCAGCAGGGGTAGGCAGTGGTGGCAGAGTGCAGGATGGCCAAAACAGCAGAGGTGGGGGAGATAAGTGGGTGGGGGAAGTTGAAGCAGAGGTAAGCACAGCAGGGAAGACGTGTGACGTCCTTGCCTAATGACTGCAACTAGGACAACTGGGACTGCTGTTGCTAAGTGGTGTGGTCACATGATGTTTCACCCACTGACCACTTCACTTAGTGATGGAAAATCCGATCCCAATTAGGGTCCTTTAAGCAAGGATTACCTGTATATCCACTATAATTGTACAGGCTTTGTGGTATAAACCTCACTAGATCTTCTGCTCCTATTGATAAGGTTGGCTGGAAGTTAAATCATTTTGACTGAGGCTTAACTCCATTACAACTTGTAGACTTCCATATTTCTAATTACCAAGTTAGCATAGCAAGTTATCAGTTTTTTCCCTCTGGGAAATGGCTTTTCTATCTGATCATCTTCCAGAGAATGTGTCTTTTGACATTTTGTCATGCAGAGGCAGGTAGATTATTGAAAC